TAAAATATAATGAAATTAGAACATATTTTTCAATCTACTTAAATTTCCTATAATAAATCCAATTTTCTTTTCTTCTTTTTTCCTATAAACTGTAATATTGGTTAAAATAAATAGAAAACCTAACTTTCAAACAACTTCTACCTCACCCATGTCTTTCATTTCTCTATTCAGTGCTTTCAATATGTTTTTAGCTATTTATTTTATAATACAACATATAAAAGTTAGAAGTCTAATATTTAATTTTGGTTACTTTACTACATATAATATATATTTAGTGGACCTATGCTTTATATATGATATTAGTTTTGCAGACTTACCGATCAAGAAGTATGTTAGAATGCAAATAGATATAATTAAGTCATTCGATATCAATTTAAACTTTTAAAATATATTAACTCAATATATTATTTAATGCCGATGAGTCTTTTTTATCAACTCATGTATTTTCTTTAATAAAGTAAAATAAAAATGTTTTAAAACCCATCTAAATTATATTAGTAAAATATAACTAATATTAGACTAGAACAATCAATTTTAAAAGTTTAATCAATAAGTAAATGTTCAAACCGTTTAACTTAAGGATATACTAAATATATGTAATTATTAAAATAAGTCACTTCAACTAATACTAACAGGTTGATTTTAAAACTGTTGGAAATAATTTACAAATTAAGAATATAATCATGTATTTTCTTTAATAAAAGTAAAATAAAAATGTTTTAAAACCCATCTAAATTATATTTTTTTTCATAGTTATATAACTAATATTAGACTAGAACGATCAATTTTAGAAGTTTAATCAATAAATAAATGTTCAAACTGTTTAACTTAAGAATATACTAAATATATGTAATTATTAAAATAAGTCACTTCAACTAGTACTAACAGGTTGATTTTAAAACTGTTGGAAATAATTTATTAGAATTATAATGTGTTAATTAGTTTGTTAGCAGTTAGAATTGATTATTTGAAATAGCCATGTACGTGAAGGTTCTTTTTACTAGTAATGATCTATTTTTTTCCAAATTTCTTATCTTCAAAAAAAAAAAATTTATGAGAGTTGGTATCATTACATGAAAGTCATTCTTTACTCACAAAATATGTGAGAAATTGTAGAAAAAGACTTTATTCCACCCAAAGATGAAACATCCTTAACTCAAAATGAGAAGGATGTTTTTCCAATACAAGGAAGCAAGACTAACAAGCTCTTGCACCCAACCATCAAGGTTTGGATGAATCTATATTTTTAAAGATGGTCGATGCTACCAATGCGAAGCAAAGTTGGGAGATTTTGAAGAATTTCCTCCAAGGAGTTAACGATGTGAAAAATGTGCAACCTCAAACTTTATGAGGCAAATTTGAAGTTTTACAAATGAACAATGTTTAATCTATTTTAGATTTTTGCTCAAGAATAAACTCTATAGTGAGCCAAATAAAGAGATATGGTGAAACGATGGAACATGTTCGTGTGGTACATAAAATACTTCGATCTTAGCCACCAAAATTCGACTATGTATTATGTGTCGTTGAAGAGCCAAATGATCTAAACAATTCGACTTTTGACCAATTAGAGGGATCACTACAAGCTCATGAAAAGGAAATAAATATAAGACAATAAGAGCTTTTGGAACAAATTCTCAAATCAAAGGTCTTTGTGAATGATGGTGGAAGGGAAAGAGGACGAGGAAGAGGTAGAGGACATGGTCATGGCTGTGGTCAAGTGTCTAAAAGAAATGACACTCAAGATGATGCTAAAAATGAAGAAAAAAGCCAACAATCAAATAGAGGTCGTGGAAAAGGAAGAGGAAGAGGAAAAGATAACTATAAAAATTTTAACAAATCTAATGTTGAATATTACAACTGTCACAAATATGGACATTATGCCTAGGAATGTCGTAACACTTTAAATTAAAATGAGGAGCAAACCCATTTTATCAATGATAAACAAGATGAGGAATAAACAACTCTATAACTAGCATGTAAAGATAGAGATAGTGATAACCATAGTTCATGGCACTTTGATAATGGAGCAAGCAATCACATGTGCAGTTACAAAAATAAATTTGTGGAGCTTGATGAAAAGATCAATGACAGTGTTTCTTTTGGAGACTTCTCAAAAGTTGTAATTGAAGAGAAAGCTATAATTCTAATTTTTTCAAAAAATGGTGGACATGTATTTATTGGTAATGTTTAATATATACAAAAGTTGAGAAGTAATATTTTGAATTTGAGTTAACTTCTTGAAAAAACATATGAAATTTACATGAAATATTATGTCTTGGCTCAGAGATTAAAGTGTTAATTTATTTGTTAAGGTGCATATGTCAATGAATAGAATGTTTGTCTTAAATCTCAAATTATTGAAGCAAGTTGTTTGAAGGGTAGCGTGGAAGATGAAGCATGGTGTTAGCATATGAGGTTTGGCCATTTGAACTTTAGTGCACTCAAGGTGATGGGAGAAGATAAAATGTTGAAAGGAATGTCACTGATCAATAATCGTAATCAATTATATGAAACATGTCTACTTGGGAAGCATTTAAGAAGGGGTTTTCTAAAAGAAACCACTAGAAGAGCAACTAATCTACTTCAACTTGTGCCCACTGATGTGTGTGGACCAATCAATCCACTTTCATTCATATATTTATCTAATAGATCTCCCACATCAAGTTTAAAAGACAAAACTCCCCAAGAAACATGGAACGAAATGAAGCCTAATGTCAACCATTTAAGATTTTTTGAAAGTATTACATATGTTCATGTTTTATAACAAGAGAGATCTAAGCTCGATGATCGAAACATCAAACATATTTTCATTGAGTATGATGCAAACTCAAAAGGCTACAAATTATATCATCCAAGTAATGGCAAAATTGTGGTTCGTAGAGATGTTACATTTGACGAAAATGTGATTGGAATTGGGAGAAGAAAGAAGAAAATATTTATGACTTCTTTCCATATTTTAAAAAGGAAAGACAAGAGACCATGGTGTCTTTGCAAGAGGCAACTCCTCCTCATTCTCCAACTCATGTTGCATCACCCACTTCTCAAGGAAGCTCAAGTGAAAGGCAATGAAAGACGAAGAGCATCTAAGATCTCTATGATAAAAATAAGGAGATCACTAACTTTGATATAAATGATTTATTTTTTCTTTTCCTTGACAATGAACCAATGAATTTATCAAGCCATGAAAGATACAATATGCAGATAAGTCATAGACGAAGAGATCAAATCTATAGATCATAACAACACGTGAGAGCTATCAACTCTTCCTAGGGGACATAAAGTTATTGGAGCCAAATGGGTCTATAAAGCAAAGAAGGATTCTCAAATAAAGGTGAAAACGTATAAGGTAAAACATGTGGCTAAAAGATACAAACTGAAGCATGGAGTTGATTATGATGAGATTTTCGCATCAGATGCTTGCATGGAGATTATTCACTTATTCTTAACTATTTTAGCTCAAATTAGGTGGAGAATTTTTCAACTTAAAGTGAAATTAGCATTCTTCAATGGCTATCTTAACGAAGAGGTTTATATAGAGCAACCATTGGGTTCGTGGTTGAAGGACATGAAGATAAAGTGTTGAAATTGAAGAAAGCTTTGTATGGACTAAGGTAAGCACCAAGTGTAACAGCTCGAACCCGAATGTCAGTTGATATGGACATTTACACAATATTTTCAACTAATAGAATAAACAAATATTAAATATATAATAGAACTACACTTTAATATATAATCTCTGTAAAAAAATAATTATGTATTTACAAATAATTGAGACATCTAACTTAATTTATAATTTTAAAATAAAAACTAATAAAGTTTTCTTCACTATCTTCTATTGATCTTTAACTTGTTTTTCATCTCCTCTTACATGGGTGGAGGATGAATTGAGGTGAGATTCACAAGCATACTAAGAAAAATGATTCTAGAACAGAAATTTATATATACATATTCACGCAAAATGCAAGATATAATGATATTCTATGATCCAAAAAAATATCAATCAAAACATCATAAATAAATACATAATAAAACATCAATGAAAACTTATCTTAATCTTTTTCATTATGTTCTACTCTTATTCCTATAGATTATTTCTAAAAATCTTATACTTAATTCAATGATTCTTTCCTTATTATTCCCATTCTTTCTTCGTAATATTTCTCTATTCGAATATCACACATCCACTTGGATATCACATCTACTCAAAATATCACCATACACTTGAAAATATCACATTTAAGGTTTCATTTCGCGATGTCGTTTTA